GTGAAAATAGGTTCTTCACCAATCGGACTTGAATAAGCAACGACTTGAGATAACTTGTCCACTTAAAATGGTATTCTGGTAGAGTAGCGTCTTTTTAAAATTGCAGCTTACTTCCGCTTACATAATTCTCACTTTCTTTTTTAACCCTGCCCATACTTGTAAATCCGCTAGAAAATTTCGTTATATTATGATTGTGGGGCAACAGACAGCAGGGCTATATTAGGAACACGTCGTATGCTAGTTTATCTTTTGTTGCTATTTCAAAGAGTCTTTTTTTCTTAAAAAAAAAAAAAAAATGTCTACTTTATTTGCGTATTGATAAAGCTTGAGACGTTCTTGCAGAGGACGCAGTCTTAGGTAAGAACATTTCAAAAAATCATTTTGTCTGCAGTACGCAGCAATTCGTGTAGCGAACGGCACTTCTAATCGTCGATTTTTTTACTGCTAGCCATTACTACCTCTATTGGATTCTCAAAATTTAATTCGTGCGGCCCTGCTATGGAAATTTACCCGTTTACAACGAAAGTTCACTTCTTCCAAAAATCCATCTCCATCTTTTGCCTTTTTCCTCAGTTTTGTGAGTCTGTTTTCACAGCAGTTGACGGGGGTAGATGATGACGGCGGCTCTTGATTTTGGTTCAGCTGGCAGCTGTAGTGTGACTTTTGCCTAAGCTGTTCCAATTGTGAGAAAACGAACCGTCGGTGGAGGAAGCGCGCAACCCTGGGGGTGTCGCTCTCTTCGGACAACTGGATGGCATTCGTCCGTTCGATGGCATTTAGCAATCAGAATAACTTCGAATTAGGCTACGTTGTAGCTGGGATAAAGGGCTGACGAAGGACGAGCGGAGAACACAGCGAATAATTTCGGTGGGTTTTAAGTCAAGAACTGCCTTCATCATCAGGTAGGAGGTTCTAACTTTGGTTACACATTTAAATACAAACACCAGTTGCATCGTAAATATCTTGAAATCTCATAATAGAATAACCTCGACCATCCGTGTAATGCTGAATGAAAAACGTCACATAATTTGCCCTCTTCTACGACGTACATGCCTGATGAAGAACTTCACCAGTGCCAAACAATGTTATTCACGGGGCTACACTTGATCATCGTCCGAACAGTTTGAGATAAACAAGCTTCCGTTTTCCATGGATAATTTAAACAATGTCTTCCTTGACAATGAGGATTTGCTGCCTTGAAAATCTATAAATTCTTTGAAGCCTGTCACATTAAATTTAGTTCCTTTACCAAAGCTCAAATGTGTCATATTATGATACATACATGCGCCGAATGTGTGCATAGGTAGCGGTGGCGTCATTAAAGCGCGTTAGTTTTATTTATTCATATACACAGAACAGGTCCTCATCTCTGGTGCCAGAAGGGATTTGTTGAAGGAGAAGGTCCCTCCGTAGGCAAGTGCGGCAACGATCGAGTCGAAACTTAATGACACCCATTTAAATTTTAAGAAGCTTACTCGCTAATACTCGTGCAGACACAGCGGTATAACGCGACAAATTTGGAGAAGGAAATAACATATAATTATCGCAGCTATTGTTGTCGCAATAGGTGACGTTCTTGTCATCCTTACATTCGTTGTGGTTGTCATTGCTGAAACTACCACTTTCAGCGAACGGTCCGAAAGTAAAAAAGGAACAGCGTTCGATTTGCCGCTGTTAGTGGACGCTTTGCTCGGCGACGTTTTGATGTGAGACTACGAACGTCCACTAAAGACCCAGTGCCCTCAGGGCATCAGAGCACATTTTACAGAGGCGTTCTTCAATAACCCGAATTCGCGGTCGAGCCTCTTCATGCTAACTCCCTTCTCTATGTCTTTCAATGTCAATAACAATTCGGTCGTACGCAATGTCAAAAGCCGAACTTAATTGTACTGGCTGACACCCCTGGGACAACAAATGCCAGGCTGATGTCGCTGGCCAGCCTTTACGTACACTTGTGGAAGCGGGGCCTTTCTTTAGCGCGTATATCTGATTGCGAGTCAGCAGATATGAAACGTATGTGACAAGTTTAGATGGGATCCATGAGATATTTTGAAGACACTTGTAGATACTCTAGAGAGTTAATTTCTAATCGTTAAATAACGAAATACCGTATTCTTTTGAAGGGAACTTTAGAAAGCTTTTAACGTATTATTTGACGTACATAAATATAGTGCTGTTTTGTGTTAATCTCTCATTAGATCCGTCGCGGCACGTTGGGTTTAATCAACTCCCCCTCTTTTTTATTTAAAGGAATATCGTGGTTTGCGCAGCTCAAACCAGCTGTTCCATTTAATTAAAGCTATATTCTTGCGTTTATATAAGCTGCTCCATTGTATTATTCGTGTTCGTAGAATGGCCCGAAGTATCTAATACACCGTTGTAATTGGATTCTCGCCTGACTTAGCTTAAGTTGATCCACCGAATTTGACAATTGGACAAAAATTAGGGAGCGTAACTCTTCATTAAACGAAGAAAAGCTTTAGGACAGCGCTTCCCTGCCGTATTTATCCCTGATCGGTTCTTCCTGACCGCAACAAAGCCATTGTTATATAAACAAACGGTTCAGACAAAAACAGCTCAAAATGAAAGCACTCAGTAAAGAAGAAATTATATCAGGTCACGGGAGCTGTTTGAAACAAGCCTGAAGAGGAATCAAGTCGAATGTATTATATCTCGGTTTTACGCTTCGGCACACTGCACCCTTCCCCCGAGCTTATCATAATCAGCACAGCCGATACAATCGTGATGATGATCGGTGATCTAAAGAAGAAAATAGAACATTTCGAATCGAACCATGGCTTCGATTTTAATCAAACCAAAAATGGCAGCGATAGCCTAAGTAATAATAATAGTAAGGTCTGTTAAAATAAAATATACTTATTATATTCGCTCGTTTTCCTAGAAGAAAATTTTTATACAGTTCCATAGGATGTGAGAAACAATAAGCGTACTTTGAGCTTTTTGAGAAAAATATTTGTTTCGTTCATTTTTCGTTTCATGTCGACTTGGAAAGCAACTTTTTACCACCTTATCCCTTCGATTCAGTTGAGTCGCAGTTTTCTCCAGCGCGTTTTTTTGCCATTTTTTGACGATAATCTCTTTAGCTTTCGTCTCTTACTTAGTAAATCCCAATAGGTGCTGTTAGAGCGTAGCAAGGATATGCACCACCTTTAGATTCGTTTCTAGCCATCTTAGCCGGAAGCCAACCATCGTATGCTTTGCAACTCATGGCCAAAGGCGGATGAAATATTTTTTTATCAAAAATAATTTTTCTTAAAACGAAGTGTATCCCAAGTTGTAGATCTACGCAAACTTAGTCGTAAAATGGATGAATACCTGCGTTCAAGCAAAGAATAAGGGATAGTATGTAAATTTGAACGGAAGTCCTGTTTTTAAAATAATAACGAGAGTACCGTTAAAAAAACCACTAGGGCTCCTTGTGTTGGAAAAATTTGATAACACGCAAACTAAGTAATTATGTTTATCAATCCCGTACACACAGTGACGATTCACTTCTTAACAGAAAAACTATTGCTGATAAATCGTCATAACGATAGGCCCCCTTCGTCGCTTTCTTTACAACGATTTTAGCTATTAAATTAACTCTGCTTTCACTCCGTTCGCATTTAATACCACATAACTCTCTCACAACCGTTTTGTAGAGTCATCAAATAAAATAATATATTATGGATGTAATAATTGCATGATAAAATTATTTTCTTAAACAAGCCAGTTTATTCAGCAGAGAACATTCTCACTTTACATCGCGACTAGCAAGAAAGCTATCTCTTGCTTAGTTAGTTGGGTAAATTCCCGTAGTGGGTAATAGCGTGGTTGGCCGCTAAACGTAAGAAACACGCAGTGGGATAGGTTCGAACCCGGCCATTGACACACTTAGTTTGGTGCTGGGAGCCACCGTTTGATGAAAAGGCCAACGGCAGTACCGGGCGCAAAACTTGAAATTTTTAGCTTTATTTCTTTTTATATTTATTTTACATTATATTTATTTGAGTTATCTACTGAATCATAAATGACCAAATAATGTTAGTTGTTGCAATGAATTCTTTACATTATAACTATAGTAACGTCTCATTATTTTTTTTTAAGATACATTTGAAGTAGGAAATCTTCTAGCTGTTTGTAACATTTCATATTTATAGTAAGACCAATTTTTATTAGAAAATTTTGAGCTTAGAAAGAAAGTCAGTCTGGCTGGAGACTCGCCAGTTCGGTGTGTCTTTTCCCATATTTGTTAACCGAGACGAAAGTTGGCCAAATAGACTAGCTGACTATTGTCATAAGAAATCCCTATATCAGGTTTTGCTATGTCTTCAAATGGATTATCTCACATTGTACAGGTGGCCCACCTATATGTTCTCGAAAGGACAGAAGGAAAACTATCAGCTCGAACTGCAGGTTCCTTCCGTGCATCAACTCGGCTGCAGCAGGAGCACACAGGTACTTCTCGGGAAATATCTTTGCTCTCGAACTACTCACGCAGCTCTTATTTCCGTACAGTTAGCTGTCATAGGAAAATAAAAACTTCCGGAAATTAGCGTGACGGCAATAAAGTTCTGCTCCAGAATACCTGAGAGGCGACCAAGTGTTTATCGAAAATGTCGCTTACCAAGATGGAAGATGTAGGTGAGACAGGCTGCTCTTTTCAATTTTTCACTGAGTCCTTTTCTAAAGACAGCTCTTTTTTTTTTTACAAATCAAAAGAATATTCCTCTTTCGAGTTTTTCGTTGACGAGCTGAAGTCTACTGGCATCTCTTCCAGCAGCTTTGATCGATTTCGTACAGATGACTTGAAACTATCGTTCCGGGTAAGTGCTCTAATTTCATGATCATCCCGATTGTTATATTTGTGATCAATATAACTGCCTCTCTCGATCATTATCAAGCAAAAATGTTTGTTTTAAACAGGTTTGAAAAGACATGAATGACAAAAATTGAAGTACGATTAACAGTCAACGAACTAAGAGAAAGCAGGTACTTACCGCGACGCCAGCTCTACAGAGCATAAAGTGTACAGTCTGTGTCACATCGGCTGCGTGCATATTGTTGTGATAAGGATTGTTGTACTTTTTATAGCCGGCCTCTATAGAGGTGAGGAAATTTTCTAGGAAGAGGCTGGACATCTTGAACTTGTGGACGAGACCGTACCGATTGAGAAGATCGAAAGAAAGGTAGCGGAGCGCCTGTTCGCCAGACAATTCGTTCAGTTTGAACACGTTGAAACTCCTGTAATTTAAATGATCAACGAATGATGACGATATAGTCAAACGAAACAAGCCGATGCACAAACTAGTCCGTAACACGTAGCAGACATTTCGTTCTGCGATGTTGTTTGTCAATTAGAATCCATAATTGAAAAAAAAAAAAGCATTCCAGATCTCCAGCTCGAACTTCCAGTCATTAAATATTAATTAATAGGCTTTGTAGGGCATGCTCAGTACAAAAACAAAGGGGAAGGAGAAACGTCTATTAGTTATTCTATGCTTTTACCTGTACCAATTAGTTAAAAGTAGTAGACACATAGAAATTGTACGAACATACAAATATACAAACCTAATTACGATTCGCTACGTGATTTAATAAGAACATTTGAGCACTGAAGTTTTCGTTTCAACATATGTTCAGCGCAAAAAACTGTTTCCTGTTTTATGTCTGCAACCTTCAGTAGTTACTAAGCTAAATATAAATTTGCACCACAGCCTTCCTTCGCCATGTGCTCCTCTCAAGAAGGCTAAATTGCCAACCTCTTTTTTTGACAAGTCCTACTAAGGAACAAAAAATAGCACCTGGCAACGAAACGTGAAATTTCACAATTCATTCAGAAGTGGCACCCTTTTAGCGGCTTCAAGAACTAAAGGAACATGCGTCTAATTATTGAAATCAACGTTATCTTCGTCGCATCGGTGCAGAATAGCGCTGATATGGTCGGCAGACGGAAAGCACAATGGGAACCCACTAGACAACTGTAAAATCTTGAATATTTATTTCATAAAACTATGAGCGGATCATGCTCTTAATGCCACAAAGACGCAGTCTTTTTTTCTCATTCACGGATGTAGTCTATAGTAAGCTGTACCCATACGCTGTTAACCGAACATGCTGGAATATGCGTCGAAGGGGATATGTAGTACAGATGAGCTATTCAAAAATCAAACGCTTAAGCGCGCTCAAAGATAGCGGAAAAACAATCGAAGCTTTTGCTTCGACATGCAATTCGGTCCGTATATATAGCAAGTTCAAAGAACTACTAAGCTAGTTAGAAGTTGACGGCATAAATTAATTAACTTTGCAGTTCGAAAAATGAGTAAGTAAGCTTTTAACAAAATTATAGTGTGTTGTTGAAGGAATCAATTTTAGAACGGGAGTTTGAAGGTTGAAGGCAACAAAGGGACTAAGTACACTTTAACACTCTATAGGGTGGAATAAGTAGCTAAGATGAAAAAAACATTAACTTTTAAGCAAAGCAGAGTATGGGCGATGCGCTTTTTGTCAACTTAATATAGGAGCCTTTGAAACACGTGTCGTGATTTGGAATGAAAGCACTGGAAATTAACAAAGTAAGTAAACAATGGGTTTGTTTTACGAATTGAATTCAGAACAGATGAAAACACGAGTGGCGTACTCTAAGAAGAACTCATTCTATTACTAGCACCGGGCTGCCTGAACATCGCCGCCACTATAGTCGAGATACGAGTTAGTCTGTACCGCTCACTTTAGAAGGATTAGGCCTGTTTGAATGCCGTCAAACAAAGGAAGGAACGACACCAATAGTACTGGTGCGGAATGAGTTTAGACCTAAACTAATGCTCGTACTTCGGGTGGACATGATGGGCATTTCTTAACATGAGATACTTCCCGGGAAGGAAACGATCACTGCTACCAAATATCCTGAAAAGCCGCATAAATGCACTAAAGGTCGACGGCACGCAGTGTTAGCGTTGCTGAACCGCGACGCATAGTCCTATCGCCACACTTCAATTTCGGCTCAAACCGAGACCAAGGGAATGATGTAATAGTTCCAGCCTCCGTATTCTCCAAACCTGAGCACGTGGCATCTTGACTGGTTCCATGTTTCAAAAGGGGCTCTGGGTGGTGTACCGTCGATTCTACCGTCGATTCTCGAAAAGTCAGCAGACAATTAGTTTTTCGTGGCCTCCTCTTCGAGTGACCTGCTCTTATACCTTCTACCCATTTCCCGTGGTTCGTATTTGGTATTCTCTCGGATCCATACGGTTGGTCTTAACTCATCCTCTATTTGAACACTTCGCATAGATATTTATATACCACGTTATGCGTTTCCACCTATGTCTTCACGCGACTCTTTGCGTCAGCTGATCGGCCTTGCAATGTTTTCGGCCTTAACTGATTCCTTCGTTCTCGGTTCGTCAGGCCAAATCAGTAAACGGTTCTGGAAGGTAATTTTAGTTCAAGCAGATCCTCGAACCTGGCGTTCCCGTCTTGTCGCATTTGCATAACGACAATGGGGAGCTAAGGAAAACCCAGGAGAAAGAAGAGACTCGAGAAATGAGTTACGACTATGCTTGCCAATTAGACAGCCGGCAAACAAAAAAGGAAATCACTGAAACTCTTTTTCGTTTAAACAATTTTGATTGGGACAGAAGAAGACAAGCGCGGCAGAAAAACCAAGTCATCAAAGGAGCTAGGGTATCAGATCCATTTTTATTAGTTGCAATACACCCAAAATGATGTAGCAAAGTGCAATTTCCTATTCACTATGAGGGTACAGTACATCCCTGCACAAAGCTTCTACAAGTCAGATACTGACATCTTGCGTTTAGACATTCAGTACCCGTGATAGCCTAGCGGATAACGTATTTGCCCGCTAATATTAGGAGCACGTTGTGGTCTAGGTTCGAACATACTTTGTGTCGTAGTGGGGGCAAACCGCCTGGTGGAATGCCCGTTCTTTTTCTATTTGTGCTGCATTCAAGGCTGCTGGTTGTTGTTTTATGCAGTTTTACCAGGCCGGTTGTAAGATTTTTTACCGTTTGTTTTGATTCACTATTGGGTGTGCTGAATCATCGTTTCGGAGAGTGGAGAGTCTAATAAAAGTTCATTTGTAACCAAAGTGAAGCAATGAGAAAGTGCTATACCTGACTAAGTTCATAACGTAGAGACATCTACGTAGATGAACCATTTCAGGTTCGATTGACAGAAAATAAGATATTATTTTTAGATTCCCATTAAAATCTTTATTATATCCAAATAAGAACTAGTTCGTTTATTCCTACATAGAATAGATAATCATCAATAACTTACCAGTCGTCAGTGTTTTTGAGCATTTCTACAATGGGAGGGGGAACTTGTAGATGCACCGCGGCAGAGGGCGACACTCTTCGATACAGGCGATCCACCATTATTCCAGCCCGAATCGCGTTAGCCACCGATCGGAAGCGAGGCTTATCCTCGGACCTACGTGCGCATGGATATGGTTGTGTTCAGAAGGAAGCGTGGAAGCAAACGTTCACGCCAAAATGGTATGCACAACAGCGAAGATCGGAAAAAGGCCACATAACAAGATAGCGTCGCAGGTTACCAACATTAAGAGTGTCAGGAAATAATCTCTTTTATCACAGTGATAATAAAATTAAAACACACTGCTTGAGAGCTGCCAGATCAACTGTACGTTTCTTACTTAACATCTAACACTGTTAGGTAAGCTTAATTCTCTGATTTTTTCTGTATTCTTCTATACATTGAACGAACACATATTCTAGACCGGTTTGCAAGAAGTAGATAACAGTTCGCCTGTAGTAGCAGAACTTCCAAAGAGAAAAGTATGCATAATAAATGTATGTATAATTGTTTGCAAAAAAAACTCTTATCGACAATACCTACAGCATGTCCGGATGTGTATTTAATGCGTAAGTCTAATTATACCTTAACGCAGTTTACTCTGATATCTGTGCCTTAACTTAATTACAACCGAAGTTCTTACTTTGGCTATGAATACTGCTGTACCTGATGGTTTATACTTATGCTAATACCTAGCCTACGTAGACATTGCTTTGTTATCGTTGGAATAGTCATGAATGTAGTCTTCTGCTAATTATCTCTAAAGATATGACCGATACTATATTTAGATAGACTCAGATGAATCCAATGAAATGCTTTTATGAATTATTTCGTAATATTTTAGATTCTACTGCGCGTCTCTACGAATACGTATGAACGTATAATTTCATAAATGACTCCAAAAGAATATTTATTTAATAAGGGCCTATATATAATTTGACTGTGATACGTTATAACGGCACATTCGTATATAGTCGGAACCGTGAGAAAAAATGAGATGCGCTCTCGACATTTACCACTTCTATTTAAACCGCGGTATCATTTTGACTTTTATCTATCCAATTTGCAATGACTGTAACCGCATGCTCTGTTCCTGCACACGGCCGGCCCTCGTGTAACTAGAACTACCTGATAACTTCAGAACGAGAGTTAAAATAGACAAATCGAAATTGAATCCGTATGGTCATTGGACCTAGGTTTGCAAGCGTTCGATAAGAACATGCATAGTATAATCTGTCAGATAACTGCATCGCAATAGAACAGAAATACTTTTCTTACAAAGCAAAAAAGAGGAAGACGCAACAATACGAAATAAATAGATGGGAACATTATCGAGGCCCAACATCGATTAGAATTTACTGATGATTTCTTTAAAGATACGTCTCTGAAGACAGACACTGGCATTTTTAGTTAGTCGATCTCAGCTGTACGTAAAGTTGGCATGACGCGGTATTATGAAAAAAGGCTAGCATAGCCTATAATGTTAGCGTGAGGAAGGTAATATGAGTTGATCAGGAGCAGCTTCAGCCTGGGCGACCCAAGTTGCCCAGAAAATTCCACAAGACGTAGCGGTACATTCTTCCGGTAACTGGTAACGAATGTATCTGTCGTCTCTCGTGTAAGCGCTAACAAGTTTTCCGCGACTCGTCACGACGTATGGCAATCCATCAGGTATGTAACATGATTTTTAGTTGTGTTCATACTTATCTTTGCATTGTCGGCTATTCCCCAAGCACAGAAGTGCGAAAAAGTTACCTCGACCCAATCGATACCCAAGGAAAACTGATAGGAAGATAGAACATTATCGATAGTTTAGATATCTTAGTTATTATCAACTGAATTAATTCCAAAGAACTTTCTAATTGGACAAGCGACCTATTCGATTGTTCTTTATATAATGAACGGGTATGAATTTTTCTTGCTATTCGTAATTCTTTTTTTGATATCGGACGTGTATACGGAATCGAGTGCATACGCTTAATGTTTACTAAAGGACGTCAAAATGCTCCCGGAATAAATTATCCCTCTTTCGTCAATTCAATTAAAGCGTAACTAATGTACTTCCTAGTTTCAAAATGGTAGCACCCTGGGACTTTGTGCTAACACTTGATATAATTATGTACATTGTTAAGGCACTGTTACAGGCCTTCGTATGCGTATTTCAGCATAAAGTGCGGATTATTCGTGCACGAACCTGTTTGACCAGTCTGCAGAGTCGTTTGAGTAAATAGGCACTATTGGCCTGAACTGACAGAATGGAGTGGACTCCATATATGAGCTATTCGAAACAGCCACATCAGCGAAAAGATCTGCTTTGCAGGATCGTGTTTTTCTCTTTCAACATTACCTCGTATTTCTCTGTTGTGTCGGCCATGCAGGATGCCCGTAGGTTTCGGTGTGTGTAAAAGTGGGGGGTTTGAAGATTGAAGGTGTCATTTACTACAGTCGACCTAAAGTCTATTTGCCACCCTGCCACACCGTGATCGGTGTAGGGGTTCGGTGAGGCGCGTTACCGCGTAGGCCTCCGTGATCAGAAGGAATCGTGGCGGAATCTGCTTGGCCGCCTGCCAGGAACTCAGCAAACAGAGACCACTAACGTCCCCTCCGGTCCGGGTCACGCCACTTCTAGCAGCACCAGCATTGTGCCCGTTTCGGCCGCTGCGTAGACGACCACTGTCGTAATCGCTGGCGCCAACTGTGGTATGGCAGCAGACGTAATCTTTTCTGCAAACGGTCACTTTCATGGACAAAGGCAAGGGTCGAAGCTTACTTCGGAAGGGTCGAAGTGTACTTCGTTTCGAAGATTGTTGAGAGCTGAAGAGGTAGCGTAAAAGTTAATATGCAAACGCGCACCGCGTAAGAGGGGCGTCCTGTCACAACATGGAGCGCTGTCCTACTATATCTACCACATGACTAGATTGTGTGATCACAGCTCTATGCAAACATAGTAGCAAGTTGTATGGTGACCTGCAGGGTCTGCTAACGCAACTATTTCTGTTTATGATAAAATTATTGGCTAACGCGGTTTTGAGAACGGTGTCAATAGTCAGTCACTTCACTTGTCATGATTTTCGGGAAGTCATAATGGATAACGATGCTCTCAGCGTCCACTGAAATACTAAAACAATAGCAGACAATATTTTATATACCAACACTGTCTTAAACAGGTTCTCTCTACGTTGAACTTTAAGCATAGTCACGCTGCAGCTAACTTTCAGCCGCTAGTCACATATAAGCAGTGAAAAGTGTCCTAATTCCACTTCATAGTCTAACTCTAATCTAGAAAACTTTTTTTTAAATGAAGACTAAATGGTGGAGTTTATTAGCTTTATTCTTAGAGTCGCTAGTCTACCTAAACTGCATTTTAGGCCAAAATTGGCAGATTTTTGGTCTGGTGCAATAATTGTATAAAAATTCACTTAGATTCTTTTGCACAGAAAGCCCTACTGTGTATACGTCTACTGTTATTTTAGCTAACTTTTGAAACGATTAAGTTGCAGATTTTTTAGAATATTTTTCCGGCCATTGCAATCATCAGCTGGAAGGTAAAAGTTTTTTTCCTTTCTCATCATTGCTTTCTCGATAGACTATTTCATGTTATGTGTTTGCTCAAAATATATTGTTAGGTTATCGAAGGCATTAGAAAATTTAGACAAGGCTTTCTAAAGGCGGGAGTATTCTACATGTATCTTGTATAATAAAAACGACGCTAACAATAATAATACCATTATAGATTTTGAAAATAATTAAAAGTCTTAAAACTCTAAGGCGAGAGGGGCTTTGGTATTATAAAATCTGGTCACAGTGATAGCTAAGGGCAAGCTAGAGTGGGCTTGTTGTTATGGTAAAGCCAGTTTGCTGAGATAATTTTCCCCGATTTTTGGCGTGGCAATAGTTTTCAATCCCATTTCCATTTCATTTTGTGCTGGGTCCACGCTTCTTCCAAAACTATTTTAGACAATATCTAGCAACATCGAATTCAGATCGATAACGATGCTCCTCAAAAGGAGAGTATGCGAAGTCCAAAATTAGGGTTCCATGTAATTTTATAATCCCAAAACCAAATCAAAGATCTTGCTAACTCATATGCCATAATTCAATTCTTTAAGCCATAGTTGGTGCTCTGCGATGCCCAGAGCCGACCAGCTGCGGACATTTTCACCTTTACTCCTTCTCGAAACGATTAGAGCATGTACATAATTGTTCGATAATGAGCCATATCATTGTCGGCTAAGGTTTTATTAAATTTAGTCTATTGAAAACAGGTTGCTCTATAGGTCTATAATAATGTTTTGTTTAGCTTAATTTTTTTGTGTAAGCAAAATAGATACTTGCTGAATGGTCGAAATTAAGATCAAATAACCTTGAATACATGTTTCTGCGAACACCAGTGGATAATTTAACGAAACAAGCCAACCATCTGCAACCGGCTTGCGCAGTTTGTTTTGTGGTTAACGTGAAACGGCAAAAATCCAGTTTATGACCAGCTTTTAGAGGTTTGGGCGGCTCGACGAAAATTGCGTATCCACCTGGAAAGCACACGACGACGCCGGCCAAATGCGAAAGGTACATCGCTTATACAGTCTTTACGACATCCAGTTGCTGGCAAGGGCAAGTTCTTTGACCTTGACTTACTTTTTAGCTTTTGAGCAGAACCCACTACCGGCGCTAGAAGAATTCGAATCGACAACTTCGACAGGGTAAACACCTGGCCTTCTTGCCCATTATAATCAATGAGTAACGTATCTTATTATGCTGCTCGCTATGGAGTAGGTAGCACTGTAGCTTATTTGGTAGTAGAAAAAAAAAAGCTAACTACGAACAAAGATTCGCTAATTGGGCAAACGCACTTTCAGTATTTGATGTTGGTTCTCCATCCATTCTGACTATTTTATCTAGTCCACAGACTAACTCTCCGTAGTATCGAATGATACAGAACAGTCGGGCCCAATAGTCACCTCAGCTAAATTTCACACTCTGTGCTCATCGAAACCCAGACAAATGCTGTGTCTGCGATACACGTATTTCTACAAAGTAGCAGTCCTTCTTACAAGTTTATGTACACAAAATGCTCGGAAATATTCGCAAGATAGCCAGTGCCACAGCAGCAGAGCCATTTTCTTTTTTGCAGAGGCACTCTTCTCACTCGGTTAAGTGACTTCAGCATTAATATATCAACTTCTTCCGAGACAGTCTACCATCGTCCTTCCTGCTGCTCTATGGCTTGCCCTTTATGCTACTGCATTATGTTCTGGTTGTTACCATTATGTTTTTTTTTTACAAGTATTATGATTATTTGATTCGACAGGTGAAAAAATCACTCCTGGGAATACGAGAGTACGATAGAGGTTATGGAGTCTACAAACAGCTTGACTGTAGTGTGAGCGAACACAGTCTTAATAGCAATTTTGTAATCAGGTCACGTCCACCATCACTATTTCCGCTCTTTGGGGGCAGGCATTACCCTCGGATACCATCGTATTATTGAACTTAACGACACTGCCTCTATTCGCACCAAGTTGTGCCTATTTCGATCTCCTTTCGTCGCGGCAAACGGAAGCGAAGAATGATGTGTAAAGGAGGAAGAAGAGCAATCGTTGCACCAGCGATTCTCGTCTAAACTGCGTCAATGATTGGCAGCGCTTCTGTTGGCCAGCTGATACCTCTATTGGAGCTACAGAGTGGCTGACTTCGGCTCCCGTTTGGCTTGGCTGAAGTCCGGCTTGAGCTTTGCCTGACCCACTCCTATTTTAGCTACAAGGATGAAAATAAGCACGTTAAGAAGGAAGGGGCCGGAGAGACCGTGTCCAAAGCAAAGAATTCTTTTCCCTATTTTTTCTGTTACTACTAATGCTGCGGTTCGCTCATCTCCTTTCTATTTTTGTACTTTTACTACCATCACCGCTGCTATGGCGACTTCGTGGCAATTTGCCCTTTTAAGCGAAGGGTTTTTAGAATCTCGCTTGTTAGTACCCTGTCGACGCTACTGTCCTGCCGCTCTCACGAGTGGCTTCAGTCTAGCTCTTTAAAGCTCCCTGGCCCTTACCAAACCTTTCTAATTTCATTCCGTCTGTGTTCTTGTAAAGGAAAAGAAGAAGGTTCTAACTAGTCAGAATTACCTAGCAACGCCAATGTCGCACTTCGCGCTAGGTTGCAGGTCCTGGGGTGGAGCTATGTGGTATGGTGGTCCTAAAAAGATTACACATCGACCTACAAAGCGACCCGGGTAATAGGCGTAACTGACTTATGATTCATTTGTGCTGCAAAAGTATTTAATTGGTCGAAAAGGCAAGAACAAGACTGGGCCTCAAGTGGCCAGATTGGGGTGCCGCAAGGTAATTTAATATACGGACGCAGGAACTAAGAAATAAATGCTGACCGTGTTACATATAAAGTTTTGTTACACATGTTGAAAAGTATATTTGGCGTACCGAAGGGTAAATAATGTGCGACAAGTATGAGGTGGGCTGGTGTTAACCGTAAAATAACAAACTGTCACAAATTTTGGCATGTATCTCTCGCTATGATGCTGTCTCGGAAATCTATTAAATGAACTGGCCTACTCAAAACAAGCACCGCTGTCCAATCGGAACATCCGAGAAAGCGACCACCCCCGGAAAAATTCTGAACTCAGAATCTAGAAATCGTAAATTTCTAAAGGTTAACAGAAGTCCGTCTTGCCTGCTGTTAGTGCTATCCTTGCTTCCCAGGTTCCGTTTGCCGCAGAAAACTTTCTCTGGGTGAAGCTTCCTTTAATAAACCGATTTCCACATAGCTCGCACAGAAAAGCAAGCAAACACTCAATAAAAGTACAAAGCTTGACATTCCTCCGTGTTTCTCGCGCCCAGTTGGTTTAAAAAATTGCGACACTTCAAGATATTTCTAAGGCATGCTAAGGCCCAAATTGTCTTTGTGTCTGTGATGAAAGCCACCTATCTGCTGACATATTTCTGTAGGTGAGTATTCTTCAGTTGAGATTCTTTGGCCTGGACAGATGATGCGTCGACACTACATTTTTCTTCAAATGAGCGAAACTATACCATTGAATTGCTTTTGATAACGGTTTTAACTATTTAAGGAGGGATCGAATCGATATCCTCGCAATTAACTCTACGGCGTTATGTCAGCATTGTGTCCTCCGCGAAGTGGCGTGCAGTAGGTCCCAAGAAGGAGAAGCTGAAGTAGACAGCTAAGGAGTGATTGTCTGCCAGTACGCTTCAACAGTTTAGCCACGAAGGTGCGCTAAAGAACATTAGCAAGAGAATAGGCTTCCCGTAAAGGAAATTGATAAAGCTAGCAGTGATATTAGGCGAATGCCCCAAATGAGAAGGGTAAATCTACACGTAGAAGCTTCTGTAACTTCTGTAGTTAAACAGGAGACATGTAGTCGGCAGATTTTTTTCTGATCTACGCTCGGATAGTTCTAATCCGTTTTAACGGGAGCATTACGTCATGAATTGAAATATACTCAAAACAAAATGTTCAAATATATATCAACTAGGCTCTATCATTTCCTCTCTTGGTGCCTTGTGTGAGTTCATGTATGGGCTGAACAAAAACAGCAGTTAATCCTATTGTATTTCCTCTGTCAAGTTGTTCTTATGGAAATCTGGCGTAACACGTTTTAGCAGCTCAGGCGGAGGTGTATTGCCAATAGGATGTCATCTCTACCGCACCTACCAACCGCCTGCGGAAGATCTATTGCTGCAAGCGTAAAGTAGCTAGCTGGCCGCGAGGACAGAGACCCTTTTCATTCACTTATCTGATAATGGATGTATGAAAGCAAGCTGTAAAGCACCAACCGTCGAGATAGACTCGTTCACGGTCAGCGGGGGCCACTCGACACGGCCAATTCACTTAAGAGCTAAGCCTCTCTCTCACTAGCGGAGGGTAGGAATTCTGCGTCTTTGTTGGTACGTAGCCAGCTCGCGGGTTCCGCAAACTGCTGGTTTATATATATACATGCAGAGATGAATAAAAATCGCATATCCAGATTTGATAGGTTAGGGCTCAGAAAAATAGTGGGTTAACTAGTGTGCCTAAACCTTCTTAAAATCAACCAAATAATCAGACATTCAAATTTGCACTGCTGCATGGCGCTGGAATTGTTTTGGTATGGTCAGATAGGCGGAGATCTATTGGAACTCATTTATATGAAGTCAATCATGGAAAGTGAGTCTAAATTGCTAAATCCTATCCATTTCAATACTATCTGACTATAGCTGTATAAAAGCGTTTGTATGAGAGAAAAGTGGCAAACCTTTCACTATAGGTTTCCTAATTATAATGTACAACTCTCTTGACACTATTTATTTGATCCAACATCTGTACGGATTTTTTGACAGACATACGCCTAAACACGAATATACAGAGAACTATTGCTAAATAAAGGACCTGAGGCAAAATATAGCAGTACCTAATTCTATGGCTAGAATAGCATAGACTATGTAGCAAAATAAACTGCTAATCAAAATTTTTTAAAAATATCCTTTTTATAAAAGTGTAGGCTTTCACTCTGTACTGGTGTAGGCCACCTTTTGTCCTGTTTATCTATCATATGCTAAGCGTACACATTATTGGCGTACTATGGTATTTCCATTATAATACTGATATTATTTAGTAACAGTTTACGTTGCGCCTGCATCGTAATAAGGCCGTACTTGATCTCAGTTGAAAATTAATGTCTCCAAAATAAATATCAGTTTAGCCTTCCAAATTTTGGTTAAGTTTACCTCTCGTACCTTATTAGCACAAACACATTGGTGGATATAAAAGCACGTCAAAATGACATAGAACAGTTCTTCATAAAGAAGGTCTATAAAGAGTTAGCAAAGTATCATATACTTACCGGCGTTTCGGCAGAGAAGCCGATTGCCGTGTGAACGTGGACTCAAGCCACTCACGAACCTCGGTGGGAACGGCGTCCGGGCGGACTTCTGAAAGCTCGTCATCTTCGTCGAGAAGCTTCCTGTAGAACGAGTAGAAGCGAAGTGACGTAATAAGCCGACCAGTGCGTGGATGACGGTGAAGGCAGCGGCGTCATGATAGAACGGGTTCCCAGACGAAGCACAGCAAGATGAAAAGAAGCCAACGAAGTTAGTATTAAAACAAATACAGGAAGACTTGTATCCCGGCTACAGTCAGATCAGTTTGGTTCTACGATGAAGCTTCAGCAAAAAGCGTAGTAACAAATATAACCTTTACCCCCAAACACACTTCACAATTCACACAGCCGCAACAAAACTTTCCAAACAGAACGAAATCTTGGCTTTGTGTTTTTTCTTGGCCTGACTGCAGATTCTTTCCTTTTGATTCTCTCAAGATTTAGCGAAAATAGAGGTGAGAAAGAAGATCTTGATTTTAGAAGGCTTAAAAATATCAGAATGAATCCTCCTCTTTAAGAGGTTTGTTTCTTTTCTCATCATTCCAATCGCTACACTGTCAAGGAAGCTGATAATAGCTTTTTAATAAAAAAAAAAAAAAAAACATATAACTGATGAGCAAATGATCGGGCGAAGAGACCTTTGGATAAAAGCCCTTTTTCTTCTCCTGAGTTGCGGAAGCATTGAGTGTCAAAGCGTCGGATCTGGTTGACGCGATTTGTTCTCAGGACACCGAGGGGCCACTTCCTTTATCGGTTGTTGGGTGAAAAAATTCGCAATTTACGAGAAGCGTAAGGAAGTCCAAAAGCTTTTTAAGGACAATAACATGAACCTTCATTCGCAGGAGATATATTTAATTTTCGGGCTACATATTACGAGATTATGTTGCAGAAGAGCTTTTTGTTGACATTTAGTTACGCGCGTGGCGTTTGGTTTGTTCCACTATCCGTCAAGTTTTAAATAATAGACACTATATAAAGAATTAAACTACATCTTCTTATTAAAAAATTTACTGCGCTGATCCAATGGCGCAGAAGTACAAGCATACATTTGATTCGTTCATATACATTAAACTCTAAATCGCAAATGTTAAAGTTACCGATGGAAAAATCTCTAAACGGCGAGACTCTCTATCTCTCGCTCTCTTTGCAAGCACTGTTTGTTTAGAAAGATGCTCATCCACGTACTGCACGCTCGACTTTTTACATTTGAACCGGAAGGTAGAGAAAAAAACCGCACGGAGCTGGATAAAATACTACTGTGTGACAACTTCTTAATAACTTCCTAGTTAGGCCCTAGTTAGGAGTTTTCGTAATATGTACGCTCTGCAATCATTCTCGGTTGCGCGATACCGTTATAAGATTAGTCGTAAAAAGGTGTATCGCGCCATTAAATTTTTTGAGGTGGTTATTATCAATACCTTCTTTCTATTTTCGCCAAGCGTATAATGTCTTCTGTATGCGCAGTTACAGCCACTGAGGCACATGGAGATGTCTAGGTCGCGACTACAACATAGTTTCCTTCAAAGGGCAATCTGTGTACTTAAAGTAACGTCAGCCACTATATTCGCTCTCGATGAACTGACCTTATTAAGCTTTATAATAACATCCAGTTCAGATAAGTGGTTCAGATTGTTATGGCAAGCGTTAGCTGTGTAATCAATACGTGAGGGCTTGCTATGCTGCTCGCTGTACCTCTTAACATGCAGGAATATAGAGCGATTCATTACATAATTACCTGCTCCTACCTTCTATAATTACGAAAATTAGTCGGAATAATAATAAGGTAACGAGGAAGGCTGTTCCCCAAAGGAATTAATGGTCCTTAAGATCGATCTTACTCAAAAAATTGTGGAACAGATGGCGCTATTGCCTTTTACGTAAATTCATAGAGAGAAACAAAGAACTGCTACAAGGAAGCTTTGATGAATGTGTTGAAATTCTGTTGTAGGTTCGTTTTTCCTAACGACTAAGAACAGATATGTTTTTATGGGCATGTACATGTTTCGATAAGTTTTCTATAAGAGCAATAATGTAACATTTGTATTCACATGAGCTCGACCAATGCCAAGCTCTGCACCCCCTAATCATGTCTAGATTAGACACGTTAGCAAATACAACGAAAAACGATCGGATCACCTCCTGGTAAATTTTTTAATGGTTATATGGCCTACGTAAATAAATGGTTAAGCAACACCCTGTTTCAGTCATGGTAGGTAAAGTTATATTAAATAAATCAAATACGCAGGATCTGCCCCATAAAGACGAACTGTTGTCTCGGAAGTGTACACGTTTTATTATGAGGCTAGGCACTACTTGGCTTACTCATTTGTCGTCTATATTTCACTAGTGATTTCCAAGAGGTCTAAAATAGCGTTCTTGTGCATTTTGTATTTACTACCGGACTAATATAACCCATTTAAGCGATAAGTTATAATAAAGCCAGGTTTATATTACAGAGCATCGGTTACTATAATTATTCAGAGAGAAGGCCATGGAGGCCGTACCCAGCTTTAAGTTAGGCAACCAAAAAAAGAAAAAAACCGAATATATATTTCGGCAAATCCGAGACTTTGTGGGGGCACGCCAGTCGCTGCTAGAAAACAGAGAGTGTAAATCGCACTAAATATAATTCGAGGTCTCATGAACGAATCACATTAGACCAACCGTTAACCGATGTATATAACTAAAATTATCACAGTCTGTATTCCTATAGAATTTTCCTACCATGGAGATCAACTAGTTCGTTAATTCCATCAAATCGATTACATTTTGGCTAAATCTTATTTTTGTAACAAATTGCCCGACCCAAGGCTTTAGGATTTCGTACAGAAAATGCAGGCCATGTGTCAGCGACCTAAGACGTTGACGTACATAGTGATTCCGATGGGTGCGAGTCGCTATCGAAAAACGATGATGGGAGCAGAGAAGCACTCGTTCCTCTTTCAAGTTCGGAAATGGAAATGAGGTAGTAAGTAACATCGGCAAGTCGAGAAGCCAGTCAAAGTATTTGAGGTGTGCAATGGCCAAAGAGCTAAAAGCTCGACGTCACTTGCTCCTTGACAAGAACTTCCTCTGCATCACCGACTTGCTAGCTGTGAGTCTCACATCCGCGGATTTGCCGGGAGATCTCTAATTCCTCACTACCCTGTCCTATGACAGCTGCTCTGCCAGCAGTTGTTTACTTGGCGCTCCAAAAGATCTCTTCCAGCAGGGGCAAGTAGGATAAGGTGATGTGTTAGTGCTCAGAATGCTAAGTAGCTACAGAAAACCAGCGCTGCGATGCCTGAGCCGCGCCCAGGCCAACCCATCAGACCCAAAGTACTTGGGGTAGCACAAAAGAGCAAAATCTAAGACCTTTTTAACCTTTAGAAGTAATACCTCGACAATTGAGACGGCGTCATTCATTATTACATGGTCACTTCGGCCACTACTGAATTAAGTAACACAGTAAAATCTAAAGATATGTTACCACTTACGTAACAATTAGACTTAAAAGTTGCAGTTTAACGATTTAAATATAAGTAACGTGTAAGGTATACTGATAATGAAAACGATGTTTGATGAGTTTATAGATTGACTAACTGGTTGTTAACAAGTTATAGAACTTGTCTAGTCTAGGGTAATAGAATGGCAACCCAAGCTCTTGCTTTGGGTTTGCGGAATATTAAAAAATTCCATGATGACCTTAATGACTTTTTTGTTGTCTCTGTCTTCCTTTCGTACATTAGGTTAATTTTATCATCAACCGCTTCATCAGCTGAATGCTGGAGCAGAGTATCTCGGTAGCTAGCTAGTCTGTAGACAAGAGTGGAACCCTATAAATATCTTCTCTCCGTTTCCCCGGACCTCTAATTGCGGTCACAGTTGGACACCTAATGGCAGTAGGGAGCAACGGTCGTGACAATAGCAGTCAATGAAAGTATATCCTTTACCAAGCACTAGCGACAAACAAGGGCATTACGAAAGGATTTTGGCAGAGAAGTGACTACGTTGACACTATGTGTATATATATATATAGAAGGAAAAACAAAGGAAAGAAGAAAAAATGTCTTACATGTTTCTCGGTTGTACAAATAGGACTGGGCTATTTCCAATAAATAACCGAAGATCTGCGGAGTATATCCTAAAGACGGAGAGAAAAAGTTGATCACGTTTGTTCTTTGGAACGGGTAGTGAGGCTTTCTGCCGTACTTACTGGCCGTTACCAAACCAAGAAGGAGATAAAAATGGAAAGCTAAGGGGTGCAGAGAGAGGCTCGCTGACGTTGCTGCTATTCTCAGGAAGAACAATGAGTTTGTGTCCCCGCTCGTCCGACTTGTTAGTATCGGTCGACAAAGCTGGATCGTGTTGTCTATTGCTGTTCACTTACCCTATTGTTCTTCAGTTATGTCTCCCTAGTTCCTTTAGCCCGTTACCTTTCGCAACGCTTTCTTTTTTCTACGTAGCTGTCTGACTGACTTTCTATTTGACAGAGGCTTGATTTGGTGGAGCGCCTTCTCGTTAGTTGATGATCAGTAAACGTGGAAGGTTTAGACCAAGTGTGGGTGATAGGAGGTACACGTACGCCATAACGGACAGTGAGGTAGACGGACCCACAAAACTCATTGATTTTATATTGCTTCCCATCCCTAGAATCCTTTTCGTCTGTTATACGCTGCTGTAGAGTGCTTCATTGAGCCTGCTCCGTGCACGAGCATACTGTTTAAAAGGTGGACAACCAAAAATCTAATAAGGCCAACAGGAACAGTATAGCTTCCTGTATATCGTGAAGTAAAATGACTGCTTTTTGTCCTTGATTATAAATAACTGCACCGTAGACGACGTAAATTTCGAATGGCAGTGATGCACCTTGTGCTGCGGCTGTAGCAGGGCAGACCGGAATCCTCTAGGCTTTTGTCCTGGAGGTTTTTTCGTGATCGTCATTTTTAGCATATGAAACACCTGCCTGATTACCGCATAGGCAGCCAGCCAGTCAAGGCAACATTGCAAGACAGTAGCTGTAAAGACGCGCCTTGTAGGACAAATCCGGTACATTGTTACATAACCGTCTCTTTGTTATGATCAGATAATGATGCATTAAGAAA